ATAAGCACTTTAAAACCCCCCCCCCCCCCCTTTAATGGAAAAAAAAATAAAAAAAAAAATAATTTCTCAATAAAAATAAAAGAACACACACACACTTTCAGTCATGAAATTAAATCAGACCACGGATCTTTAAAGTATACTATAAACAAGTAAACTACACAGTGGATGTGTTTGATACATATAAAGCCAGCTCCCTGCTTTATTATCCAATATATACAAATACACCCCACCCGTAAACATCATACCACTCAGGTAACTCCCATCTCTTTGATGCTGCATGCAGGTCCTATCTAGCCCAAATATACTGGCAACACCTTTTTTATATTTTTGCACAAAGTGACATCTACCCCGTCCTCTCAGAAGGTGACCTGACTAGTGCTGCACTGTGCTAGGTCACTTTGAGGAGATTTGAACTTACTTTCATCTTTGTTAACCTAATGTATAGATTGATGTGTTTCTTTAAGTCATTGCGCTATGATACATGCAGCCAAAGAGAATGATTGAGAATCATTTTATAATACAATGAAATGTTAGTATCAGAAATATAAATGAACTTTTTATGTTTAATGAAGAATGTAGGGGGAGGACTGTGAACAAGATCAGATGTGTCCATTTCCAAGTGAACCGTGCCATTTCTCTTTCTATCTGATGATATGTTATAAGCACTTTATTGCTTCTGCTCTCATATCCCGGCTCTAGATAGCAGCTGTGGAAACCCATATTGTAATGTAGACTTTGGAAAAACAAGTCGGTTCTTCCACAGTCTGTTTGGTCAGCCATTAGAAAAAATAGAATACAGCCAATGGGCAAAGAAGAAGTAAAGGAAGCTAGAGTGAAAGTTTCATGGCTTGCAATCTAGGGATTGCTAGAGAGCTGCGGCATGAGAGAGTGTCAATAAAGAGCTCACAGCAGTCTCTATGCACAGGTATTGTTAAACGGGATGGCAAGGGGAAGGGCCACAATCATTGTATGTACAAACAAAGACAAAGATACTTTCTTCATGATCAAAAGAGGAAGAGATGACACTGAGTTTCTTGTAAGACTTTTTCCCCTCAATATATAGGGAATACACTTGTAGAGGAGATCACCTTGTGTATGTAACTAACCAAAAATCACAGTGTGTTCAAAACATCAGAACAATAGTTTTTCTGTATGGTTTGTAATGGTTAATGTACATGGATGCAGACATATTTGCTGAAAACGTATGCATGTAAATCTTTCCACGTTGCAGTGCTACACAGTGCTTGTTCTTTACACAATATAAATGAAGCAGGCCATACACTGTTCTATTTTTTTAGAATAGAACCGATTCCTCCATCAACACTTGCAAGCATTGATAGAGGAGTCCCTCAGGTGGTCAGCTGATGTACAGCTGACCACTTGAGCTCCTCCCTCCGATGCATTTCACTCATAACGAGCTCTATTCATAAGCCAATTACAAGGGAAACAAGCCACAGGGAGGAGCTCAGATGGTCTGCTGTACATCGGATCCATCATTAAACACAGATTACATCTCATTCACTCTGGAGTGCGGCTACTTTCTTCTTTGACTCTGATTGAACATAGCTGACTTACTGAAAACGATACACTACCTATGTGGCTGATGTCTCATCAGTGGTAAGATGGGGGGCAAAGTTATCAAACAGGCTCACCTACAAATCTTTACATGTAATACAAAAATAAAGGCGAAGTAAGCATGAGGAAACATGGGAGTTCAATCATTTTTTAACATAAACATTGTATTGACTTAAAATACGAGTTGACTAAAAATACAACATGCTCTTTCTTTAAAGGAAACCTGTGACAAGATAAGGATTGTCATTTCCTCTCTGTTCCAAATTCTGAGCGATCATATACTAATTTACATTTTTTCATAGAAACTTTTTTTTTGGTACAACAAAGCAGACAAGTGCAAGAGCCAAGCCCCTTCCTTAATTTTTGCTGGCTACCCGGCACTTTAAAAGGTGTCAAAAACACACCACACTGCAATGAAAGATGCAGATGTATGAAATTAACATTAAACCCAAAACAGCATAAAATGGGATTAAATATAGATGTGCAAGTAAATATAAAAATGTTCACACCTACTGCCAAATGAAAATGGGTAAGCTTACAATATGAGGCCTTGTTAACCAGAGTTCTTTCTCCAGAAATGTTGTGGTTTTTGCGGGGAAATGGTTTACAAATGGTTAATCTGTGCCAGTGACTGAGTGATCAGGGACCTAACCAGTGCAGTTGATCTCTGCACATTGCTCCTTTGTGTGTTATATACTGTAAGGAAAGGTGTAGCACGCTCCAGTAATAAGATTTGTGTAGGACGTACTTAGGTTATGTCCATAATTGGTGTGGATAAATTTCAGTTCCTTGTTTATATAAAGCCCACATTTTTCAAGCTTTAGAACCAAGTGCCACATTGCAAATTATTCCTCTGCAGCTTTTTGTTTAATTCTTTTTTTTTTCTGTCTGATCCCATGGTGAGGTTCTGCTTTTTTTCAAGGTGTCACCAGCGAGTACGCTTTTGTACAGCAAACAGCTGGAGATTTTTTTTCTTTTCGTTTTGGGTATTTGTCAGAGGGTTTTGTTATTGTCTGTTCTCATCAACCTGCTAAGAGAACAGGAGCGTGCACTGGAAGGCACGGGAGGTACTTGCTGTTTTTTTTATGCCTTTCACTTGTGAGATGGTGCAGACCCTGGCACTTGGCTCCTGCTTTCCCCCTCAGCCGCTGCATTTTCAGATTCCGCACCTTTTTTTTTACTCAATATGGCAAAGTTGCCCAGTTTGCCTGGAGACAGATGCCAGAGGAAGACAAGTTGAACATTCCATTTAGTGATGACTTTGAACTTGGACTTACAACGTTCTTGTGCATGTTCAGCTGCTTTCTGTAGACCTACACCAAGATCTTGTCTTTTTTTATCTCTCCTTCCCAAGAACAAGGAAATAAAGTCATCCCTGGAAAAGCTGGGACTTGCCAGTTGCTGGGATTTTTAGTTCCTTGACACTACTAAACATGAAGAAATGATGAGATGATTTGTTATGTGAATTCAATCTATTGCATGTGATTTTTTGCTCTTTGTATTATGTTGATTGGTGTGGTTTTTTTTCCCTCAGGTGGGATGTAACAAAGTCTACACAAGCACCTCAGATGTAATGACACATGAAAACTTCCATAAGAAGAATACTCAGCTAATTAACGATGGCTTTCAACGCTTCCGGGCCACTGAAGACTGTGGCACAGTAGACTGCCAGTTCTATGGTCAAAAGACTACTCACTTCCATTGCAGGTAATCATGACCAAGACATAACTACACATGCACAAACCTGTAGACTTTACATGTGGGTGGCCGGTCACGGCATAATGTAGGCTTTTTATTTAAGCATGGCTGCAACACAAAAAAAACATACTATTCTGTGTATTTTGCAGGCGTCCAGGATGCAGCTTCACCTTCAAAAACAAGTGTGACATAGAGAAGCACAAGAGCTACCACATTAAAGATGATGCATATGCAAAGGACGGATTTAAGAAGTTCTACAAATATGAAGAGTGCAAGTACGAGGGATGTGTGTACAGCAAGGCCACCAATCACTTTCACTGCATTCGCACTGGATGTGGTTTCACATTCACCTCCACCAGCCAGATGACCTCGCACAAGCGCAAACATGAGAGGCGGCACATCCGCAGCTCGGGAGTGCTTGGCCTTTCATCTTCCCTTATGGGGGGAAAGGACAATGACATGGAGGAGTCTAGCAATGATGATCTCATTGACTTTTCTGCTATGAGCAGCAAGAATTCTAGTCTGAGTGCCTCTCCTACAAGTCAGCAGTCTTCCATATCCCTGGTTCCTACTGTTTCTGAGGCACCTTCTCCACAAACACTGAAATCCACCAGCATCATTCCACCTACAACCAAGATGTCAACCCTTCTGTCCCAGACATTGCCGGCTAATATACCCTTGGCTTTAGCCTTGTCTAGTTCTACACTCCCTGCAGGATCTGGGCCATATTTCCCCATCATAAGTGGACGTGCTGGCAACTCAATGCCCATCAGCGCCGGTAACATAGTACCTGTGGCTGCCCCTGACACTTCTCCACAGGCTGCTTCTGGGGCTAGCGATCAAAACAGCACTTCGCCAGCTGCTACATCCATTATGGAAAAGATTTCTGCCAGCAAAGGGCTAATCTCTCCTATGATGGCAAGACTGGCAGCAGCCGCCATCAAACAGTCTCCATCACCTGAAGCAGGTGAGCTTGTGGGGTAAACTATGACTCTCTCTGTGTTCTGTATCTTCACATTATTCTTTGATTAGTTTATAATTTAGCGCAGGGTCTTGTGCATATGTTCTGTAAGAAATTGGAATAGACTGCGAGATGGTTATATCACAGAAAGGGCTGTTTGTCCTTTTTTGCATGAACTAAGAGATTGGTTCGGAATTAGTATTTTGCCTTAAGTGATTTTGTGAACTGGGTGTCACCCACACTATATATTGTTCTATTACTATGTTATTCTGATGCAGTACTTAAATATTGAGCAGTGTCTGGGGCAATTTGTCTCATATTGTCCTACATTTTGTAATATCTTGGCACAGGCAATGGGCAATTATCAGGACGGATGAAACCAGAGGCACCAGATACAGAAGGAACAATGCCCCGAAGCAGCTCCCAAGAGCAGAGCCTGGACCTGAGCATGAACAAGTGAGAATAAAGCCCTTTAAACTGAAGTCTGCTAGGGCACTGCCGTAGCTTAGTCTCAAACTATTCATAGTTTGTCCACACAAGCCATAATGATACATGTTCTAAGAGCAAAGCAGCCACCATTTGTATGTCGTTGTATCATGTATGTATTTAACAGGTTCTGTCTGTATGAAGACATTTCTCTTTTTGTTCCGTAGTAATGAGACCAACGGGCTAGAAGCACCAACTGAATCACTACTACATCCTTCTCTTGGGTGCAAGGTAAGATACGTCTGATAACATGCATAGCGGTTAAAGAACACGAAGTCACTAATGCCACCGAGAATTTAACCCGTTACTGAAATCAGTGTGTTTTTTTTTTTTTCCAAAACAATTTTTTAATTTTCAAAAACAAACAATTACAATGCTTTTTCCGTATGATTAGGTACATAGCACGGCATCAAGCACTTCTTTATAACATCCTATCATAATAATTATTATTATACGGTATATAATTCGTCTATAGACACCATATTCAGTGACTTTACGGGCCCGGCTTTGGAGGATTGAGATAACAATTCTGCTTAAAGCCCTCCCCTCTTAACATTCCTCTCCCTCGTTTGACAGTGAGGTGAATCAACATTGTGGAAGGAAAGTATATGCACCAGAGAAAGATACCTATTTCCTCCAGTTATTTCTGGCATACTGACATGCTCCTCACTCCTCTAGTCGTGAATAGTGAGTAATAATCAGTGTGTTTTAAACGAGACGGTTGTTAGGAGGTTAGAATCACAAATTACTCAGTAGGCTAAAATCCCCCCCATACAGCTCAGTTCAGTCACATGCACGGACCACATGTGTGTACAGGATCATGAGCAGAGCACTTGTTACAGGTTCAGCACCCATCACCCTCCTAACAGACCATCTCTTTTTAGATCCAACACTCCGTTTCAAACACAAGCAGCTTGTTAAGCCTGAAAGCAGATGCCGATAGCAGTGATTCTGGGGCAGGGGAGTCCACCCATTATTATCTGGGCAAAGTGATGAAGGCCCTTGATGGTGAAAAGCACACAGAGCCCTGGAAGACATACTTGCGGAGGTAACCGGCGATGCTTGCATATATTTATATGAAGAAATTGGAATTTGAAGGAGCAAAATAATTGATTCTTTCACATATTTTTAGGTTTGGACCTGCAGACGTGTGTGACCATCAGTGTGACTTTCTACACAAACTGCATTTCCACTGCGTTGTAGAGGAATGTGGAGCACTTTTCAGTACTTTTGATGGAGCCATAAAACATGCCAAGTAAGTGGCTGCATTAATGAGGTATGCAGGAACAATAGATACCCCCGCTGCATGAGACATCCCAGAATCATTTGTCAAACCGGCTTTATAAGAAACTCCTCATTTTCCCCGCCTGACTATATTTTTTCCCCTTGTGTCTAATTACAGCTTTCACTTGCGAAATGATGTAGGAACTTCAAAAGGAAGCTCAGAAATACCTTATTCCGCAGACTCGAAAGTCTCCCCTATACCGACGTCACCCCCCTTAACCTTAAATATGGCACCCGGTTGTGAAATTCCAGCTCCCTGTCTTGCTGCTGTCCCATCCACTCCGACTCTTCTGGCCTGGAAGCAGCTTGTATCATCCATACCACAGATCCCCCAGATCCCCACCTCAGTACCCAGTTTAGCTTCATCTCCCATGGCAACAACATCTCTGGAGAATGCTAAGCCTCAGGTCAAGCCAGGATTTCTGCAGTTCCAAGAGAAGTAAGTCCTTAGTTTACCTCAGTTACGCACTATAGATCTGACAAACGGCTACATACATTGCAGCTTCTAAAGAGGGCTTAACATCAGATAGATTTTTCATACTACACGCATGCCTGCTAAGTAGACTAAGCTGACACAGATCAGCCTCGGCTGCAGCCTCTCACTTTGCAGCTTGCTACAAAGTTAGTGTTGTAGACTAATCACTGCAGCATTGGAGTTTGAGAAAATGCTTCTTCCTGCCCGCAGCAGACAAAAATAACTTTTCAAAAATGTATCCTATTTGGTAAAGACTTTTATGCATATAACATGTTATTTCACTTTGCATTGCTTCTTAACAAAAGTTGCTAACTTTTGTTTCCACAGCGATCCATGCCTGGCAACTGACTGCAAATATGCAAACAAGTTCCATTTCCATTGTCTGTTCGGAAATTGCAAGTACGTGTGTAAAACGTCGGGTAAAGCAGAATCCCATTGCCTTGACCACATTAACCCTAATAATAATCTGGTGAATGTTCGGGACCAGTTTGCATACTATTCTCTGCAGTGCTTGTGCCCCAACCAGGTAAGTTAGAAAACGTGGAATGCGCAATCTTAATGTAGAACTGCAGACAAAAGTACTGATGTTCTAACAAAGGGCTGGGCAATTACTGGTCACCGGGTTGCCAGAGAAAGAGAAAAAAAAATTCCCTGACAATCGGGTTAGGTAATAAGATGGGGGCTACAGCGATTCCTTCTCTGCCATAGAGCGCTCCCGGGTGAGCAGTTGCACAGTATGGTGCAGGAGGCTGCGGGCAGCTAAGGGTTACGTCATTCTCGCCTAGGCAAGACATATGGGGGGACAGGGACAGTGTAGAGAAAAATGTATATGCGATTCTGTCACAGGAGGAGGTGATAAGTAATGTTAGGCATTGTGAGAAACATTACGGTGAAGATCAGCTACCGCTATAGTCATGTGTGCCAGTCGCATATTGCTGGCACCACGGTTTTTAAAGCTGGCTCATAGTTCTGGGTGAGGTTTGTCCAGGCCTGCTTTACCACCCGCTAACCAAAAACAAGAAGGGTACAAAAACTATAGTTTTTTGGGGGGATCAGTTTTTCTGAGGAAATTAGACCCCAGGTGGTTTTGGGGTGCCCATTACGATTTTTCGACTTACTTTCTAAAATACTGGAAATGATCATGTTGTGTATCAGTAAATGTTACTTTTCATTGCATGACGTTTTTTTCTTCCATATGCCCGCAGCACTGCGAGTTTAGGATGCGTGGACACTACCACTGTCTGAGGTCCAACTGCTACTTTGTCACCAATATCACTACCAAGCTGCCGTGGCATGTGAAAAAACATGAGAAGGCTGAACGGAGGGCAGCGAATGGCTTCAAATACTTCACTAAGAGAGAAGAATGCGGGAGACTGGGTATGTACATTCTATTTCTGATCTCGCCATTGTTTCCCAAAGTGAAAGTAAAGCCTTCTCCTATTCATTTGTCATCTTCAGTCCAAACTATTAAACAATTAATGGGGACTTTTAGGGTGCCATAAGAAAGGACAAAAGGTAGCTCTGATAACGTATGTATGCCAGATTCAGTGCCCCAATACACACAAGAATACAAAGTTACTAATGCGTCATAGGATTATACCAGTAAAGGATGGACACTCCAAAGCAAATCCAGTACGTCTATTTAGTCACGTACTTGTTGCAAATGCAAAACACAAAATACAACGTTTCGGGGTCTCATAGGATCCCCTTCATCAGGCAAACAAGTGAAGTGATCACGTGTGAGAATCTTGCAATGCCTTGTGGGATTTGTAGTTCCACCACAGCTGGAGGGCCGGAGTTTGGCTACCCCTGGTATAAGATTATGCCAGTCACCAAGACCGCATCAATGCAAACAGATAGAATCAGGTGTTAAAAAACAGAAATATGGCCCGATCCCTTATGGGGTAGAGACAACTACCCCCCTATATGAACCATTTATATATGATTTGATCATGACTGTGACTGCAACACTTGGCCAACAAAAAAAAAATAAAGATTTATAGATTTTTAGTCAGTGTTCCTTCATCAGGGCTTTTTGTATAACTAAATCCTTTGTATACAAACAAAACAGAAGACCTCACCCTGTAAACTCATAAAGAATTCATGTCCGAGGTTAATAGTGGCTTGCAGTAACCACGGTGATCGGCATCAACATACACAAGCCAGTCCCGTGTCCTCTTACAGATTGTCAGAGGAAAAAAAAAGCTCTTTCTCTTATTTGCTCACCTTTCCAAGTTACAGGTGCCAGGCCAGCATACAAAGCCAGGTAATGCTGCCATGGTGACTGCAAGTCCTCACCTGCCGTACCCTCCACCTGTTTATTCTGGTTGCTGGAGAAGCAACGGTCACAAATTAGAAGACAGATCGACATAGATTATAGACGAGAATCTCTGAAATGCCGGCCAAAGAGAACTTAGAGAAACAGTTTCGGCCTCTCCCATACCAATGACTGTGAGATATAGGACACCAAAAATATCCCTAAAAAAAAATAAGTGCCCTAAAAGGAAAATCCAGTCTAGGCTTTTAACACGCAGAGTTTGATATACTGGAATCATATACAGGTGAAACTCGAATAATTAGAATATCGTGCAAAGTTCATTTATTTCACTAATGCAACTTAAAAGGTGAAACTAATATATGAGAGACTCATTACATGCAAAGCAAGATAATTCAAGCCGTGATTTGTCATCATTGTGATGATTATGGCTTACAGCTCATGAAAACCCCAAGAACCCCAAATCCACAACCTCAAAAAAGTAGAATATTACATGCAATCAATAAAACAAGGATTGTACATAGAACAATATCGGACCCCTGAAAAGTACAAGCATGCATATGTACTCAGTACTTGGTTTGGGCCCCTTTTGCAGCACTTACTGCCATTACTTTTGCACGATATTCTAATTATTCGAGTTTCACCTGTACATGCTGAATGTTCAAACCACAAGTACTCTGACTCTGGTATGCCATCACACTATAAGCCCTGGTTCACTCCTAGGCGGCACCGTTTTTGCGCGTTAGCAGCATGCGGTTATTTGCGCGTTGTGCACATTTGGATGCGCGTTTTAACGCACGCACATGAAGACGCACGTTTTGATTGGCAGCTCATAAACCATTGTGGGCAATGGAAGAACGCACGTATAAACGCACAAAAACGCTCACACAAATGTGACACATGCTTCTGTTGCACATTTTTGGGCATTTTCAATAAAGTATATGGGGAGGAAAAGCCCTTTTAACTGCCCAAAGAATTTCCTGTATCTTTTCAGGTGTCTGGCGTTTTCCTGCTAGGCATTTTTCTGCTCAGGTGTGAACCAGGGCCATTGAAAATCATGGGATTTCTTGTGTTGGGCAGTTAACAGCGCTTTTCGAACTGCTCAAACACGCCTAGGTGTGAACCAGGGCTATATCTAATGACACGGTAATCAAAAATGTTGCCTTATAATCGGAAAATCTGTTCTCAGCATAAAATGATAGCCGGTGAACTTGCCTTCTATAAGACCTCCATCATCTTTGCCATTCATTAAAGGTTTACCTTGAATTTTCAGTGATTTCTATGATTTAAAAACCAGCAAAGAATCGACAAATTGTTCATGTTTATCTTTTATTAATTTGTCTAGAAAACCTTAAATGTTGTATATATCTTATTATGGACACACGGCACCTCAATCATTAGTCTTTAACGCAAGCACCAAATACACACGTTTTATAAATGGAGACGGAGGAAGAAGTTACAAACACTTCATAGGAGTTTGCACTTTATTGAGAAGTATAGACGGAATTATTTACATTTTCCTCTTTGTGTTTTGTCTTCCAGGGTGCAAATACAATCAGGTGAATAGTCATTTTCACTGCATTCGGGACGGCTGTCAGTTTTCTTTCCTACTAAAACACCAAATGACATCACATTCCCGCAAACACATGAGAAGGATGCTGGGAAAGAACTTTGACCGTGTACCCGGCCAGGTAAAGTAAAAACAATGGCGCGGGACACAGGACACATTTCCTAGACAGGGTAGAGATCATTCTTCAGTCATTACCTCAGAAACACACATAATGGCAGTCACTTGTTTTTTTTTCCAGGTGGTTCCACAAACCCCCATAAGTGGCAGCACAGCGCCAAGCCCCACCTCCTCAGAAAATCCCTCCTTCTTTCAAACCACATCCCAAAACATGATGGACACAGAGACGGACGAGTACATGGACTACACTGGTTTGGGCAGTCCTGGTGGGATGTCGTCTGAGTCCTCCAATCCTGATCGCAGCTGCTCCAGTACTCCAGTGGGCAATGAAAGTACAGACGCAGGAGGTAATTGTTGAGTTAGATAACATTTATATACATCATGATTCTTACCCGCGGTCCTGTTATATTTTGGTTAGGTTACTCACACGTCATTGTTACTAATAGTCAGAATATGTGATCTAACATTCGCCATAACAAGGAAGTTGCTGTGATCACTTTGTACTAACCAGCATTTAACTCCATCCAAATGGCCCAGTGCTGTAAATCCAGACTCTCCTTTTCTGTTTATTGTTTCATTTCATCTCATCATTATCTCTTTTCAGCTTCTCATTTGGTTCATTTTGTTCTGTTTCTTTTTTTTCCCTCCTTCCTGTTCTGTTTCCTGCTTCTCTCCACATTCTCCAGGCTGCCTGGTCCCTTCTGCTTCTGATGACGCTCTCACCCACAATGCACCTCCAGCAGCGGCTATGCCTCATGCTCCTACCTTTCCTCCTGCCTTGGTCAGGCCTCCCCTCTCTTCCCTTCCGTACCTGCTGTCTCCATCCTGTGTCTCATACTCCCTGATCACTGCCAGCCTGGGGGTCAGCAGGGGCATTGTGGTGCCAACAAGCAGCGCTCCAACTTTCACACCAGTAATAGCCACTCAAGCTCCAGTCAAAAGTGACGTTCCACTAGTACAGGATGCAGCAGGTACCTTTCACCTTATTATATGCCATCCTCCCATCCTAGATTATATGTATCCTGAATTGTAGAACAAAGCAGATTCATTTCTTGCCCTTGTCAATACTGTCAAATAGATAGTTCAGTTTGTGCATTTTCTGGCTGTTAAATTATTTTCATGTGTACTGTTCACTTGGAGACAAACCAAGGCTCTGCCAAGCAAAATACTTCATATCTGAAAGCTTTGCCATTGGAGTATTAGCAGTATTCAATAAAAGCCAACAATCTCCTTAACTCATTTCCTCAGGAGAACTTATCGCCACCAGTGCCATAGGTGTTTCCTGTTCTGGTAGTGGTTGGTGGCAGGTTTAAAAATAAACTCAAGGCAAAAAAAAAAACTTAAGATTGCTCCAGCTTAGTTACATCTAATGCGTTGGAGGGCTGCTGGGAATGCTAAAAAAAATATTTGTTTTCATGACAGATTAAGAGCTCATTCACATGGGCATGCACGCCCGTGCAGAGATCTGCTCCTGGGTGGAACACGTGAAGGTGCCTGTAAATCCATATGGGAAGGCACGGCTGCATGCCGACCTGAACATGCACATCCATGCAGGTCCGGGGTGCACGCACTTGGCACACTTGAACACAAAAGAGGAAGTGCCATGATGTCACTACACTCCCGATGTAAACACAATGCTTCTGCATTGTGTTTACATTGATCTGCTACAAGCGCTCCTATGGAGCCCCGGGTAGCAAGATCAGAAGCTTAGTGCTGAATGTCACCAACAACCAGCTTTTCCAGCCTGAACCCCGGCTTACACAGATCTTTTTTTTTTCTGGTGTCTTCTATTGCCCAGAGCTCTGCTAGAGAGATTTACCACTACCGCCTGTCCTGCTGATGTATTACCAGACAGTAAGAGAGAAAACTCTGCAACAGCAACACAGACTGACATATGAAAAAAAAAATCATTTGAGCCCCTGTCAGATTTTTATTTTGGTCTGTGTTCCTGTTGCAGATAAATCCTCACTTCCTGTCTGGTAAAACAACTGTCAGCGGGCCAGTAAATAAGAGGAAAATATCTCTAGCAAAGTCCTGGATAGTAAAAACCAGACTGTGGTTCTAATCCTTACTCTATCCAAAACTAGAAAAAATATTGGGCTAGACATAAGCATTAAAGTGACTCCGGAGTTAAACCTCAAAAATACATTCAAGTCCCTGAACTATGAACAACAATGTTATTTGTGTATCACTCGGCTGTAGATCCTCCAATCATCTCTGAATTGGTGCCGACACTGTCCTTCCTTCTGGAGGGGGGCTACGTCTGTTCCCCATTCACTTGGCACACTTGAACACAAAAGAGGAAGTGCCATGATGTCACTACACTCCCGATGTAAACACAATGCTTCTGCATTGTGTTTACATTGATCTGCTACAAGCGCTCCTATGGAGCCCCGGGTAGCAAGATCAGAAGCTTAGTGCTGAATGTCACCAACAACCAGCTTTTCCAGCCTGAACCCCGGCTTACACAGATCTTTTTTTTTTCTGGTGTCTTCTATTGCCCAGAGCTCTGCTAGAGAGATTTACCACTACCGCCTGTCCTGCTGATGTATTACCAGACAGTAAGAGAGAAAACTCTGCAACAGCAACACAGACTGACATATGAAAAAAAAAATCATTTGAGCCCCTGTCAGATTTTTATTTTGGTCTGTGTTCCTGTTGCAGATAAATCCTCACTTCCTGTCTGGTAAAACAACTGTCAGCGGGCCAGTAAATAAGAGGAAAATATCTCTAGCAAAGTCCTGGATAGTAAAAACCAGACTGTGGTTCTAATCCTTACTCTATCCAAAACTAGAAAAAATATTGGGCTAGACATAAGCATTAAAGTGACTCCGGAGTTAAACCTCAAAAATACATTCAAGTCCCTGAACTATGAACAACAATGTTATTTGTGTATCACTCGGCTGTAGATCCTCCAATCATCTCTGAATTGGTGCCGACACTGTCCTTCCTTCTGGAGGGGGGCTACGTCTGTTCCCCATGATCCCTGTGTGTGTTGTAAAGTAGTAACCGCTCCAAGCTCCCTCCTGTGATGGACTACAATCTCATGTTTAGTTTACTAATTTGTATTGGGATTGTAGTCCATCCCGGGAGCAAGCTTGGAGCGGTGACTACTATACAATGTCCTGCTGGTCAGATTTATCCTCTCTATTTGCTTGGGACTGTTGTCACCATGTCAGAAAATAATGGGTAATTAAAAACGTTAAAGTTGTCACCAGAACAATGAGGTGGAAAAGAATCTTCCAGTGAGAACACCAGATCCATAGACAGTGGTCTAAGAAGGGATGTGAGACAGGAAGTTCAGGGAAATTTCCCCAATTAAACAGGAAGCATTAGTAAAGAAACCTGACAAGGGCTTAAACCATTCCATACTTGATTTAAAAAAATTGCCTAGATACAGAAGAAGAAGCCGTATCGTGATACAGGAGCTAAATAAACAGCCGAAATGTATTAGGGCAGAAATACAGAGGTTGGAAGTTTACATTTAATGTGCTTCTGCCTCTTTCAGCAGCAAATGATAAAAAAACACATTTGATATACTTGCTTTTTAAACCGTTATACACATCTGGTGCAATGCGAGTAGAATTATATGACTGTGTATAGAAGTGCCGTTACAAAAACATAATTAGCACAACTTAAAGAACAACGGCAGGATTTTACACAATGAATACCCTTTAGGAGGGGCTGCCCCCGCACTGGAAGGGTTAACTGCTCATTTTTCTCTAGAGGCAAAAATAAGAAACGCTCACGCGATCCTCAGTCCTGCGGCAGCAACTGATCACCTCTCTCTGCTGCGGCTGTGGTATGTCCCTCAGCGTCTTCACATCTAATAAGCCTGTATTAGACATGATGGCGTCATGGGTCCTTAGACCGCCAGAGCCCGGGGAATAGAGGCAGTGGGGACCGGTCTAGGAGCCAGGCAGGACCAAAGATTGGGTATTTCTTTCTTTTTTCTATTATTATTTCTGCTCCCTAGGCAAAATGAGCACTTATCCCTTGCAGTGCAGGGGGTAGCCTCACTGCAAGGGTTCATTTTTAACATCCTGGGGTTGTTCTATGAAAGGAGTGGTATAATATGATAATCTACGTGTACACAAAAGATAACGGCAATAGTTTATTCTGTCAATGTGTTTATACAGAATCATTTTCCAAGATTAGTATTATGAAAAGTGTAATTCCATCGCCTGACATAATACTTATAAATGGATTCAAACAGATTCTTATACCAAAGTTTTTACTTTGCAGGGAACACCATCACGATGCCAACAGCTTCTGGAGCCAAAAAACGATTCTGGATCATTGAGGACATGTCACCTTTCGGTAAACGACGCAAGACCGCTTCTTCCCGCAAAATGCTGGACGAAGGGATGATGTTAGAAGGATTCAGGCGTTACGATCTGTATGAAGACTGCAAAGATCCGGCGTGCCAGTTCTCCTTGAAGGTCACTCATTATCACTGTACCAGAGAGAACTGTGGCTACAAATTCTGTGGACGAACACACATGTACAAGCATGCCCAGCACCATGATAGAGTGGACAACCTTGTTTTGGATGACTTTAAGCGGTTTAAATCCTCTCTTAGCTGCAACTTCCCTGACTGCCAGTTCTCAGGGAACAGCACTCACTTTCACTGTTTGCGCTGTGGCTTCAGATGCACCGACAGCACTAAGGTGACAGCACACCGCAAGCACCATGGGAAGCAGGACGTCATTAGCGCTGCTGGATTCTGCCAATTTAGCTCCAGTGTAGATTGTGAAGTGCCCGACTGTAAGTACAAGCTGAAGTGCTCACACTTTCATTGCACTTATCCCGGCTGTAAGCACACTGTGGTGGGAATGTCTCAAATGGACTCACACAAGCGCAAACATGAGAAACAAGAACGCGGGGACCTACCCTCTGTTTCTCCTGGTCTAGATGGATCAACTCATATTGCTCCCGAGTATGACCTCCAACATCAACCAGTGAACTTGGACAGCTCCCTCAACCTGAGCACAGACACAAACAGCTCCCTCCTATTCCTACAAAATGCTGCTGGGGTAGGCCTAAATGACTCACTAGACCTGAGCAAGAAACCACAGGATGGGGCTGACAGTGGCTCCAGGGAAAACACTGAGACGACCAATTGTAGGGATGCGGATGATGATCTGTCCCAGGAAGATGATGATGATGATGATGAAGATGATGATGATGAACTGAATGAAGATGAGGATGACGAGGACGATCTAAACACAGATTCTGAGGATTCCTTGCCTGACGGTGAATGTTTACCAGGGAAAGGAAACAAAGAAAGTGCAGGGGATTCTACAAACCACTGTGATACCTCCCAAACTCCATTCAACCTTCACACATCCCCTTGAAGCTACTTTAAACTTTGAATGTTTTATAAGTCACTCCCAAAGAGGGCCTTGCTCTCACAACCCATACAAAAACACCCCAAAAATAAACACAAAGAACAAGTGAAGGAATAGTAAATGCAGCTAAATGACTTCTGCAAAGGGGGACTTGACCAAGTGATCAGTAGACAAGACTCAAGGGGGCATTTCTGTTTGCTGGCCTCCTCCATTACAACTATTCATTCTGGTGCTTGAGAGCAATGGGACAAAACTTTATTTCGGTATGACTCCAATTAACATAAAATCCAACTGCTGGTCCTTTTAAAGAGGGGTGACAAGATGGGGTACTCGTTACTCCTGCTCTAGCATGCCAGAGAAGGATAACGCTTCTATGTGTTTGTGGCAAGGGAGGAGGTCAGCTGGGCTTGGGTTATGGGTATTTATTGATTAGCATTATCAGGCACCCTGTGATGAGGCTCTCTCTCATGTTCTTCCAGTTTCTCTCTGGGTTGTTCCCGAGAAGCTATTGTTTTATTTTATAAATATTTATATAGAAAGCTTTTCCTCTGCACCAATTGCTCTGGTTTATTTATTTATTTTGGCACTGTTCTGGCATATTGAACACGAGACTTGTATAAGCAGCCAGGCTAACCTCATAACTGGGGGGGGGGGGGGGTCCCCCCCGCCCCCC